CAGTCCAACAGGTGTTGATAGAGACGGCCCTGTCGTCACTACGCCTGAATCATGTTCTCTGTTTTCAACAACCTTTGGACGTACACCCTGATCTCTAGGTGTAGAAGATATAAAACCTTGTCCATGTTGTATTGTACTTTCACTAAGCGACTGTATTTGCCTACTAATTTCAGCAATCTGATCGTCAATATTTGACATATTTATTGCAGTATAGAGTAATCTAAACAAAACAATTATGGTGTTGTAATATTATATTATATAAAACACTCGTGTTACAACTCAGCCGTGAACTATAACTATGCCTCACGGTTGATTTACTTTAATCTTTTAAATAAACATTCATGTCAACTGACAATCGATAATGAAAATCAATCAATCAAATACTATGTGATAGACAACTTGAATCCCAACCGCTAGCCACCAAATATGTAACGTGTAACCAGGCGTTTATATCGTAAACGTACGTTCCAGTAAATACTTGGATCCAAGCTGTCCAAACAATACGGCAATACTAAAAGCTATAACTATCTATCTTATGCACAATGAACCAAAATATATACACTAGCTATTTGCCGATCCAAAGTAACAATGAACAATAAAACAATTATATATACACCAATATAATATTAAACAGCCTGTCCTCCAAGTGGGACTATCTGTCACTATATACAAGACAGTGCGGGCTGGTATAGTATGTTGCTACCAGACAGTCTGGGCTGGTACAGCTTGTCCTCCGAGTGGGACTATCTGTCACTATATATAAGACAGTGCGGGCTGGTACAGTATGTTGCTACCAGACAGTCTGGGCTGGTACAGCTTGTCCTCCGAGTGGGACAGACTGTCACTAACAAACAATGCGGATTGTTGCAGTCTGTCCTCCGAGTGGGACAGTCTGCTCTACCAACTTTCAATGTTAGACCAACTTGTACCCAGTACAAGTTGTCCCCAGTACAAGTTGTCCTCCTATCTAACTTACAGCTATGTAACGTACTCACTATTGTAAGCTGGTCTTCTTTTGTAAGAATATCGACAGAACCCGAATTGTATTCCTCACCCCCTTATATACTCCAGGGCGAATACACTATTTACTGGATAGGGGTGTTCTCTAAATGTTCCCGATACCGAACACAAGAATCCCTCTCAAACACCCCCATACCCTTGGACCCAACCACTGACTATCCCGCCAAACGTCTAAATCCACACAATGCTTCCTTCCGCGTGAAATATGCATGTATACAACAAGATTCTTCTTGTTTGTTACCTTAACAACCAATAAACATTACACTACAATTTCAAAAACATGGCGTTCTGTATGGGTATAGTTTTCGGATCTTTCATTAGCGTATTTAAGGCTATAAAAAGTTTGGGCTTCAAAAGTTCACACAATTATTGACTTTATACAGAAAATTCGTCCTTGTAAAACATTTAATAGTTCACAAATGATACGCGATTTTAAAGTAAAATTATTTCTTAAAACACTGCAAAAAATTTCATTCATATTGATAAAGTGGTATCGTCATAAAGTGCGTTGAAATGAACAGTGGTATAGCAAACATCGAATTCCCTCACAAAATGTTATCACACACTACAGTAAGGGGAGTCAGTTAAGTTTGTCTATTTTTAGATACTATACAGGTAATCTTTTGACTACGTATACAACCTGTGTGACCTGTGTAGTGATTTTGATTTTACGATAAATTCATGAATGAACGATAATTTTATGAATGAACATGAGCACCTGACCTCTTTCTTAAACACCTATTAAACATATAAAACCGTATTTAATAAGGAGATAATTCAGTCAAATTTTCAGTACTAAATCAACAACTGAAATGATTCCATTTTTTGATGAAACATCGTCAAACGGAGAACGGAATCGCAGGTATAAAAATGCACTTTTTTCCCTTGTAATGACCGCGGATCTATAATTTTTATAGATCGGTTGAAATCCCAAAACTAATTTGCATAATGGAAATTTAGGCGATAGCAATACATCGGAGTGACCTCAAGGTCATCCTCTGTAAAAATATAATAGGACTGTGTTTTAAAGTAATAAGCATTGTGCAGGGTTCACGTTACCATGCTACTGGGGTGACAAAGCCGCTTTCCCAGTCGCCACTTCGCTTTGACCGACCTTCAAAAGCGAAATCTAGCCGCCCTGTTGTTTACGATACTCAAATTCAGTCGCTTTTGTCATCGGCAATATTCAACATTTACAAAGTCGATGAAACAGCAATTTTTCATGTGAAAGTAAAGAAATTCAAAGACATAAACGATTTATTTTCTTTAGGAGGTTAAAGCATTGATTTTAAAGTTGATTGCATGTTATTTTCATAAAGACAATTTTTTTATCACTTCTGGTACTTGTTACTCAAGCTTAGATCAAATCATTCTAACTTTCGGCAAAATAAGCTTGTTACTTCATTAGAACGTGATGAAATTAAAGATTTCTTGCTGTTGTGCAATACACTGTGCTGTTGCGCAATACTTAGTAAATCTGTCGTCAGACTATAAACAAATAAAGTTCAATTAATTCCCAGTCATATTAGAAATTTATAAAAATGTAAAGGGAGCTTGCATCAATAGATATAAACAATTCACTTAAGTTTCATGAGAATTGCTGACAGCATTTTTGAGCTATTGTCCGAAAACTGGAAAATCACCCCTTTTTTAATGAATAAAACCCCATCACTCAAAAATTTAAAATGTAAAATTTATAAAATTCTAAACGGAGCTTACATCAATATAGATATAAAGGACGCCTCCGAGTGCGGGAATTTCTCGCTGCATTGAAGACCTGTTAGTGACCTTCTGCTGTTGTCTGTTCTATGGTCGGGTTGTTGTCTCTTTGACACATTCCCCATTTCCATTCTCAATTTTATAAACAATTCACCAAAGTTTCATACAAACTGCTGAAAGCATTTTTGATTTTTGTCCGAAACTGGAAAATCCCCCCTTTTTTCATGAATAAAACCCTGTAACTCAGAAATGTAAAATCTAAAATATATAAAAATCGAAAGGGAACTCATGTCAATAGATAGAAACAATTCACCACAATTTCTTGCAAGTTGGTGAAAGCTTTTATTGTCCGAAAACTGGAAAATCCCCCTTTTTTTAATGAATAAAACCCCATAACTCAGAAACGTAAAATCTAAAATTTATAAAAAACGAAAGGGAGCTCATTTCAATAGATATAAACAATTCACCAAAGTTTTATGCAAATTGGTTAAAGCGGTTTTGAGTTAATGTCCGACATGTTGACGACGGACAAAGGTATACCATAGTACGTCCCGTAAAAGGGCGTATAAAAATGACAGGGTGTCATACCACACCAAAACCTTCTGAAGGAAACACTAAGTTGGCAAACAAATTTTGTTGAAAAAATTTTGTTCTGCATTTTTTTTTTTCAGTTAGAGATGTAATCTGTCCTGCCTTTTTTTCTATTAGTTTATCCCGACTTGTTTTTACATAAATTGTCATCCTGCCTTTTTTTTCATATTGTCTCATCCTGCCTTTTTTTCAAATTTCATCCTAGACCCCCACCCCCTAAAAATCAAATGGTAGCTCCCTAAGTTAGCAAACAAATTATTTTATTTATACATTGACAAACCTGTATAACCTTGAAGCAGTATTAAGTTCATGTAAATGTATTATCCCGCATATTATTACATGTACATTGAACTAAAACAAATTGTGGTCATTGTCAAAATTATAATTTACAGTTTACTTTTCCAATGCTTTCAATTTAAGATTAGGGCATTTTTGTCATTGGAATTGAGTTTTGTAGTCTGAGATTACTCTAACCTCCAACGACTGTTTTGCGACACCAGCTAGGGCAGTGGGACTTCAGCTGGTCCCATATCAGATAGATGATATTTGCCCGTCCAAAGTGGATGTGCTGCTTCGTTGCTTCTGGACGCGACTGGATCCATATAAATCAAGCCTCAATTTATTCATTTTCCTCTTCATTTAAGTAAGTTTGATCAACCTACCACCCGTTATCTTCTCATATTTGGACAGTTTTCACATTGACCCATCAATACTGGCATTTTAGAGGGTATGAATGCCCTTTACCGTCAGGCGTCAAACGGTCAATACGGCTACTGTTAGCGTCAAATATGTTAACATGTAACCGTGATTCGTCAACATATCCTTATTGTGATTCGTCAGAGGTCTCAAATAATGATCGTTACCGTTATTTTTGGGAAAAAATTAACGTGATTCATCAAAATCTGTCAATTTTTTTATCGTCTTGAAGAAAGTCTTCATTTTATCGTAATGCACCAAAAATTACTGTTAACGTCATTTGGCAAGATTTATTACCGTTATTCGTCATGAAGGTACCCCCATTACCACCCTCATTTTAACTTTCACTTTATAAGAATGTCACATGACCAACATTATGGGAACTGATTTATGCAAATGACCCTTATCGAGCCTCAATTAGTTCATTTTTCTCTTCATTTAAGTAAGTTTAATCGACCTGCAACCCGCTATTTTCTTATATTTGGACAGTTGACACATCAATACTGGCACTTTTACTTTGAACTTTAAAAGATTGTGACATGACCAACAGAAAAAGTAATTTACAATGCATTATGAGTGCTGATTTATGAAAATGACCCTTATTCAATAGGAAAACAAAATCTAACACCTCGTTCATTTCCCTTATGGAAAAATAAGGCTTCTTGCAAATATTTGCGGCAATATTGCTGCAAATATTTGCGGCAATATTGCTGCAAATATTCATTTTTCGTATGTAAATTAGTTTTCTTGCAAACAGTTGCTGCAATATTGCCGCAACAATTTGCGGCAATATTGCAGCAAATGTTTGCAGGAAAATCAGTAGCTATGATTGTTGCAGCAATATTGCGGCAAATTCATTAGCTGCAATGTTGCAGCAATATTGCAGGAAAATTAATTTCTTGCAATATTGCAGCAACATTGCGGCAAATCTTTCAACAATTTCAGTTGAAAAATTAGGAATTAAAAACTAAGCATTTAAAAAAGTATGATTTAATAATAAAACAAAATTTTCTCTGTCCTCTATAGGTTGTTGTGTTACATATCTGTGTATCCTTTAGTTCTGTTTCTCTGTACTGACTGTCCTTAAAGTTGAATTTTCTGATTTCAAATACTGCAAAATAAAAGTTGAAGAATTTAGCATACATTAAAAGAATAACTAAACATTATAAAGATATAAGTTACTACTATATATAGTAAATTCTGGACTTATGAAAATAACTCTTTATAAAGAGATGGTTACAGACCAATTTTTCCAGCATTTGTTTCACTTAAAGGGTCAATGTCTAAAAGTGATCAAGTCCTTCTAGAAATTGCATATTACTATAGAATACATTTAACCTTATGCCAGTACTAGGTTGTTATTGCTTTTTTTTAATATTTGTTTTTCATTGAACTATAACATAATTGGTCTTGTCTATTCTTTAAAATTTTTGTGATTAGTTGTGTATATATAAAAGCTAAATATTGTTGCCATTTGTTGATAGACCTCTTATTGGCAGTCAAATCACGGATCTCTAATTTAATACCAAACTGCTTTTATTAGAAGATTTCTTGTTTCAATTTAAGTAATGCACTTTCTAAAACATATAGTCTTAAAAAGATTTAAAAAAATATCTCCTGTCTTACACAATTTTAATAATATTCATGTGCATAAATCTATTGTCTTATACTTTTGTCAACTCTATTAAGTTAAGAAAACTCTTTAAATATCACTATTTTGAACTGTAAGAGCAAGCACTTATTCAAAATGGTGGACATTCAAATCCATTGTACTTACCAAAAGATGTTATCCAAATTATGTGTAAACACCAATCTTCCTAAATCCAAGAGTCATGTCAACTGAAGGCTATCATATGCACTATCCAGTGTCAATAGAATTAGTTGGAACTTTTGGATCTAAATTCATTGTAAAATTCATATTACTTTGTGCATGATAGAAGACATCTTTGTTTGTTGTATGCATGTTCATGTCCAGTTCAAATTTTGAATATGTTGATCAAGGTTGCTTAGGGTATTGTGACAGTGTGATCCCTTTGAAATTTGCCCCTAATTATAAATATTAATTGCCTAAATCTTGAATATTTGTTATATATTATAATAAAAAAATAATTATATATATATATATATTTTTTTATCTTTGATGTTATAAGTTATAATGGAAATATATACAAAGAAGAAATGCTCTACCCTTAATTTGATCTCAAACTCTGTGTACATTAATTTATGGTACTTCCTGTCTTTACCACTACACAGAGATAAATGGAAACCAGATGGCACATTACATTTCTATCACCAGCTCATATTACTAATTGAGATGAGAAAGATAATTTGTGTATACATAGTTTTAAAATAATGATACTAGAAATTAAACAAAATGCAACCTGCAGGTGAGGCTAAATTCATTTGATGGAAAATATTAGAATTAAAAATATTGTTCATAGAAAAATGTCACAAAAAAGTGACAAAAAGGCATAATAATACATGTAAAACAAAAATTATTATGACTCAATTATTTAGATTAAACTTGTTGAAATAAATACCAAAGTATTCTTGAAATTCTTTCCTTACAAAATATCATATAAATGTGATGTACAGTTTAGGAATTCTAAAAATATAAGCATTGTTATTTGAAGATTTATTTAAAATAAATTATTCAAATATCTAGATATTTCTGAGTAAAATAAAGTATGACGACAACAAATTTAGATAGTTAGAAGTATCCATAACCAAATGTTCAAAGAAACAATATGTTGTGTATTATTTGAACCTTAAATCTTAAAACAAATAATAATATGTAATATTTTAAAATGCTTAAAATATTGGTGCAAACTATCTGATTGTCTGACATTATTAAAGAAACTTTTCTTGCAAAGTTGTTGCAAAAAGTAATTCCTTAAATAATAAAAGAAAAGGTTCCTGCAACTTTCTAGCAAACAAATTCTTTCTTGCAACATTGCAGCAAACTTGCTGCAATTTTCTTGCAAACAAATTTTGTTGCAATAACATTGCGAGAATGTTGCAGGTAGCTGCAACAACCTGCAACTTTCTTGCAAACACTTCTTGCAAGCAAATTTGTTTGCTGCAATATTGCCGCTATATTGTTGCAATATTGCAGCAAACTTTTCATTTCTGTAAGGGTTATGATGCAAATAAGCTGAATGGCCGAGTGTGTTCAATTTGAAAATAAAGAGTTAAAATGCCGGAATCGCAAAAACAGATGTTGGACATCAGAGTAATCTCTATGAGTATGAATTTTGGGCAATTTGTAGGGGGGGTGGGGTGGGGGGTCAAGGGAAGCAAATGCTCTTTAAATTATGCATGTTTCAAAAATTGGGGAAAAATTACACAGAGAATTGAGTCATTTTTATATTCATTAAATAATGACTAAATAAATGTAGACTTACCTTCTAATTCTATAAAAAAAAACCACAACTACTGAACAGGAACAATCATGGTACTTTTTTGTCTACACTATGACATCTGATCTGCAAAACCTACAAACAGACACAGAAATATCATCAAATAGTGAAATATAAGATTGATTGCACCTTGTATGGATAGTTCCGACACGTGTTACATGGGGAGCCCGTTTGTTTACAAATAATAATGTCACGTGATCACGCACTGACCGTCACAAATTTTTATCATCCGCCATTACACAATATTACTGTTCTTACACAATTCACAAATGCATAACCCATTTATCTTGCGGACATGCAATGGGAATGTGCACGGTTATCAAAAACTACAAAAAAATTGCATGTACAGTTAATGAAAAAGTTATTTCATCAAATAGATAAGATTTTCGCTCATGACACAAATCGACTGGGTGTCATCGCCATCGGGGATAATTGATAAATGGGATTAAATTGACCGCCAAGAAGGTGTAGAGAACCACCTCTGGAGAACCTTAACATTAATAAGTAATACTCACCAAAATTTCTCTATAATTAACGCTATTTTCTGTTGGAAAATTTCAGAAAGATGCTGATAAGCTTATTTTGTGACACAGATTATTTTCTTGTTTTGGCGCGAAATATATTCTTACTCTTAATGCTTGACGTAACAAAATTTGTATAGAATTATATTTAACTAAAGCTCAGCGTAAATATGCAGAAGCATGACAATAAATTAATGATAAAATGTGTAAATATTTCTGTAAATGAATATTATTTTACTTTACCAGTATACTTCACTTAGAATTACCTTTGAGCGCAAGAAAATCTCTATGTGAATCGGCTGAAGGTTACCTCGGCTGAATCCCGGGGTCGAAGTTCAACATATCAACGGAAATTTTTGCGTGTGCTTGCGTTGCTTTAGATCGAGGCCACAGCTTTTCAACCAATCGGGGAATGTTTACTTGGGGCATACATCTATTTTTACTGCAGGTTTTGACATGTTTAAATCGGGATTATAGAAAAATGGAATGTTGTTAGTAGATACAAAACAGAAAATGATGAACACTTTTAGCAAAAGATAAATTGGATCGGGGGTCTGGGAATTCACATTATTTGTACAACTCTCCTTACTCTTGGGAAGCGTGTGCTTTACATCGAGGCTTGCGTTGCTTTACATCGACGCCATTGTAGTTCAACCAATAGGGGAATGTTTATTTGGGGCATACATCTATTTTTACTGCAGGTTTTGGCATATTTTAATCGAAATTAGAGAAAAATTGAATGATGTTAGGAGATATAAAACAGAAAATGATAAATATTTTTAGCAAAAGATGAATTGGATCGGGGTTCTGTGTATTCACATTATTTGTACAACTCTCCTTACTGATGGCAAAAAATGGAATTTCCGTGACCTAAATGGTTCGCGAAAATTAATATTTTTATATATATATAGTAATGATCACATAGTAAAATTGAGAATAGATAGATTTATTTTTATCGGTAAATTTTTGAATATCTGATCATATCTGAAAAAGGTTTGAATAGTAATTTCGGTTTTATATTAAAGGCTCAGCTGTCCCTCCATCAAAGGATGATCCGGTGAAAGAACAACCACAAGCTCAGTATGGGTTCAGTCAGCAGCCAGGACAACCGCAAGGTGTGGTTGTTATACCTCCGACGTTACTCATCACACCGGCACATTTTGAACCTTACGAGACCAAATGTCCTCATTGCCATGCGCAAATTACGACGGAAACATCTTTTAACATGGGATATATTGCAAAAATGTGTGTTTTCACATTACTTTGTTCATTGTAAGTATAATAATAACAGTATAATCTTTCCAAAAAGGAAAATAGTGCTTCACAGTATCACAGTATCATAAATTTACGTCAGCTCTTGAAGACTTTTGTTTATGTGATTTTCCAAAAAAAAAACAAAAACAAAACATAAAAACAATAGATACAAAGCACCGATATAAGAGTACTCGCAGTTACTGAAACAGCACGGTGACCCTTGGTTGTTAACTTCTATGCTTATTGGGGGTCTGGTGGAGAGTTGTCTCATTTGACATTCATACCACGTCTTCTTATTTTTATAAAGCTAGTTCAGAGCCGATTACAACTAATAAATAAATCATGTATACCTAGACTAATTTAAAAGTATGTCCTGGTAAGTTAAACATTTTCTTATATTTTTTTATGTATTTGATTGTGTTTATATTGCGATCTATTTGGCTGTCTCCAGATTCCTGACTGAAGTAAATCTGATATATTTGATGTTTACTTTCATCTTCAAATGGATGTTTTGGAATGCAAATGTATAATGTATATGATAAAGAAACAATGGCTTTAACGTACCTAGACATTGCAGTAAGTTATTAGGTATATAGACTTATCTAATTTAGAAACAATTTATGATATATCATGATTATAGCATTTTAATATGAAACTTCTTTTGTTTTGTAGTGTATGGTTTGGATTGTTTTGCGTTGCGTTCTGGCCATGTTGCAGTAATAGGTTCAAAGATGTCGAACATACATGTCCGCACTGCCGTAAGGTAGTAGCTAAGTACGAAAGACATAGAATTGCACCAAATTATCAAAGTGCATGGTTTCGACAACGAGGTAACAATTGATAGACTATAAGACATCTGTAATAAGACCTACATAACAATATCCTATGTAAACAGAAACATATGTCTTAGCTGAATTATTGTAACAGAAGATACTGCAAAATGTCTGAAAACAATTATATTTGCGAGTGGGTTAAGATATATTTACCACTTTTAGCAAAATTTAAGTAATTTGACCATATTTTATTTCAAACCTGTACTAAATTCTTCGATAGATACAAATATTTGGATTGCGACTGTCATACAAGTGAGAGGTTTAGCTAGCTATAAAACCAGGTTTAATCCACCATTTTCTACATATGAAAATGCCTGTTCCATTCGTTTGATGTGTTTGAGCTTTTGATTTTGCCATTTGATAAAGGACTTCCCGTTTAGAATTTTCCTTTGAGTTCAGTATTTTTGTTATTTTACTTTATATATATATATGATTATATATGTACAGCAGTTATATCTAAGAGATAGAACTAATCTTAGATGACTAACGCAAAAGAAATGCAAACTTGTACAATACGTGTAAAAAATGTCACAGTTTTACTTCTTTATTTTGGAAAGTGATTTCTATTAATTTAGTTCTTAGAATTTTGTTTAGAACCACTATAACCGTGAATATACCTTCTTTCCTGTTGTCGGGACAACATATAATTTGGCAAAAATGTTCATACTATCATGATCTACCTGTTTCTGTTAATCAACAAAATAATCAGAATTTTTTTTAATGTATGAGTTTTTATCTCAAATGACGATTGTTTGCCAATATTTGTGTTTTTGTTAAATATTTGAAAACTACAAAATATAGCCGCACTCCGTTAACAGGAAAAATGATTGACATTACATGATTTACAAAGGGCCAATGAGACCTAAACAATTATAATATGTTTGTTAATGTAGGTTTATACCAATACAAGCGTGTTTGCCTAGTAGGTTGAAAAATGTATTACTTAGATATCATAAATATACGAAAACTGTAAATAACTAGATATATTTCTTGAATTGATAAACAAGTAGCTGCGGAACCGTAGCTCATAGGTTC